ACTGAGATCTCCACATCAATGGAAGAAATTGTATCTACAATAAAGAGCACAGTTACTAATCAGCCTTCACTTTCAACTGGCAGTGTGGAATTAACGCTCTTTCCATCTTCAAGCACTTCTCCCACGGAAGCGATAACAGGTCCTACGCCTAGCACAAATGAAGCAGGTGAGATCTCCACGTCACCGGAAGGACCTTTATCGATAACCAAGAGTACCGATATCAAACATCGTCCATATTTAAGTGGGAAGGATGAATTAACTGGAAATCCATCCAAAAGCGCTTCTTCAATGGATACCCTTGCAAGTCGTACTCCAAGCATAATTGAAGGAAGGGAGTTTTCCACTCCATATTTAATGAATTCTCCGTCCGCACTCCAACCGATAAACTATTTGCTACAACCACATTTTCCGAAACTAAGCGCCGTTCATCTTCATCAGTGAACAAGGCTTTAACGATCAATCTATATCTTATCCATCTATCGAGTTATACTGTTATGGAGGAAAAAGCAAGCGCTACACCTTGGTCAGCTTTTACGATCGTGTGTGAACGCAGCGTTAACGAATAATCCATCTGCAAGCTAGCAATTACTAGATAACGGAAATCTGAAAGAAATGAGCCATCCCTTTTGACCAAAGAACTGTTTTGTTCAATCTATAGTACTGAAACCAAACAGCATTTTTCTTCATCTATGAATGAGGCATCTATGTACAAGTTCTTCGCCAATAGTAAACGACAACGAGCTTTGGCGTAACTAATTTTTCTTCACAGGATTCTACTTCGTTTTTTATTTATAAACGGCAACAAGTTCTACAATAGTAGGTGGTCAAGAAGTGGAGTCCAACAGCTCTTGACTTTATTTCTACTTTTTTCGATTGTCGATTACGAATAACCTTCTTCTCCGGTATTGTACGAGCAACCAACGAATAATCTCTCTATGATTAACGTATCAAATTATTATTATTTATTTGAAACGGAATTTTTCTAAGTCCATAGTGTAACTAGCATTCACGTCAGACATGGGCTCATTGTGCTCAATGTTTTACATTTGTCTTAGAAACATATGTATAAGTTTATATGTTGGGTATTTAATAAATACGATTTAAGTGTCTACATATGTATTAGTAATAATTATATGGCTTCGATGTTATGTCAATCGATTGTTTTGTTTTTTCTAATGTAAGCGATTATCTACAACAAAACAATAAAAAATATTTCAAATTCCAATTACGATTGTTTACGCATACCCGTACTAAGGAATTCAAGAACAATTATCGCTTGTAAGTAAGTGTCCCTGACATATTCTATAAAAAAAAATTACAAGTTTTTATTAGTTAATTTTATTAGTGTTGTAAACGATTCTTTTGTGTGAAAATCGAAAATGTGTATGGTTTTATTTACCTATAAAAAGTATGCCCAGTTCTTGCACCGGCAGTAGTTTCAAGCGAACGGCGGATGCGGATGCAAAAGCAGACATCTGAAAACTATTTATTGGAATAGAGTGGACTCAAAAAAAAAAAATTAATTGAAAACAAAAACATTAATAACGACTTACTTCCCAAAAAAAAAACGTCTCGCGATGCTAAAATTAACAGTACTATTGCTCTGCCTTGCTGCAGGTACTTCCTTGGCAATGTCATCCAATAATTTGCTACGAAAAACAGAGATAAATTTACTAAAATTAATGATGGAGACACGTCTACATCAACGCGCTCATCCAGAACGCAGCTTGGATTGCTTTGATTACTACCTACAGCTGTTTGAGAGTATAAGCAACGAGTATAAGGTAAGCTATGCAGCTTGCTTGGCAACCGCAGAAGAGGATAGGAAAATAGTTGACGCCTCAACTCAGCCCGAGCGAGAATCGCTTGAGCAATCGGCACGATCGTCGTGCGTGGCTTTAAAAGATTGCTCTGAACTCAGTGGGTCTATCGATTACTTTAGCTGTTTTGCAGTAAGCGTAAGTACCTAGGAAATGAAAGTAAAGTGAAACTGAAGTAGAGATTTATATCTGATTTATTTACTTCAAGGGCAAGGAGAATACTGCAAATATGTATGATATTTCGGCCAACGCTTCAGAAAAATTAGCCGACGTGCGCGAAAGTTATCGTCTAATTGAGAATAGTGAACATCGTTGTACAAATGATTCGGAACGCGCTTACGTTGAGCAGACCTATCAGGCAAATTTAGATTTGCAAAGCTGTCTACGTGGTGAAACATCAGTACCAACAACAACGCCAAAACCATCAACTACGCCGGATGATCCAACCACCGTCGCTTCTCCAGGCACTACCACTGAAGAGCCTGAAGCAACGTCACCATCTGAGGAAACAACCACCGAGGACCCCGAAATAACGTCGCCATCTGAGGAAACAACCACCGAAGGCCCTGAAACAACATCGCCATCTGAGGAACCAACCACCGAGGACCCTGAAACAACTACTTCCTCTCAAGATAGCACCACCGAAGAGTCAGATACCACAGCCGCTACTGGGGAAACATGGACTGAAAGCAATGAAACAACAAAAGATTCTGATTCCTCAGAGAGTAGTTCCAGTGAGTCCAATAGCAGTGGCTCTGAATCTAGTGAGGCGCCGGAGAATATGATGCCTGAAGAAGATTTGCGTGCAATTCAGATTAAACGTCTTGCCAAAATAAGAGCAGCTTTAAGCAAATACTGAGGCAAGTTTTTTATGACGTTTGATTGGAGTTTTTTATGTCGCAGTATTGTAGATAGCAGTAACGATAAGTTATTGTACGTAGGTTTTGATTATAATAATAAATAGATTGCTGTAAATGCTATCTTGTCTGCATACACGGGTAGATAAGGAAGCCCAGAAAGCGTATAGTAAATCGTGAGCAATTTAATTCAGTATACATATAAGACTGTGTAGCAACCATGATTCGAAAAAGTTTCGTATGTTTAGTAAAACTAATTATTTAGATGATCAATAGATTTGAAAGGCTGACTTGGGGTTAAGTGGAGCTTCCGGGAAGGCACGACAATATTCAATTTCTAGTCTTGCGTCGGCGTTCGCCGTTCCTAAAACAACGTGGGAAGAACAGAAGCGAAATGAGGTAACTAACCCATAGGGAGTATTGGGTCACTCAGACACATTTGGTTAAGGGCCCACTGAAGACTGAAATCATTTAAGATGAACGGTTTAAGCCTTTTTCTCCGCGAAAAACATTTTTCATTACAGAGTGGGAATATTTACACTCTTGCGTGAAAGTTTTGAAGTGCCTCTATTTTTCTTCCAAATATGGACTCTTTACAAACAAACAGGTAGATACATATATTTGTAGTGGATTAAGATCCTGGCCTGTGTTTTCGGCCTGTAACCTGAAGTATCGCTGTTTCTTTTCTATACCAAATGTAAATATTTGTCATCAATTATCTACGAGTATATTTACAAAATAATATAGACCAATGCCATGATGAACGCATAAAAGTATTACGTAAACTTTATCGGTGCTTTTTTCTAGTTCGCTAAATTTGCACAAATGCCACTCCAGATGCATTTGTTATCAGGCGTAAGCAATACTTTTCCAAGAATCTTATAATTGACACTGCAAACCAAAACCAATACCCATAAAATTGGAGCGGTTTCGATATTTAACTTTCTATAGGTGGAAAAATAAGATTTCCCGCTTTGATAAGCAACTTCCTGTAGTTCAGTTTCAACAAGCATTTATGACCGAACTGTTTATGACATTTAAATACTTCCATTTGATTAGATATGTGGCTATATAGTACATGTATATGTGTGCAGTTTCCTATAACTCGTAATAAATCATTTCTAATAATAGCGATTCGAATTAAGAAATCTCTTCTTTTGAGTAAGCGATTAGATTAAAAAATCACTTATGGCGATAGTGAAAAGTTATATGTACCTATGCCGAAGGTGAAATTGGAGCCTACATATGCATAAACATATATTTTATATATTATTATATATGGGACATTCTATGCTAAAATAGGAGGAGGATCTGGGTTTAATCCCTGGTCCGAGCAATATCTAAATTAGAAACGGCTGGTCTAACGCTTTTAACGACGCCAATAGGAGATACATACATATATGCCGCGATGCCCAAAATAAGTACCCGATGACAGTAATACGTAATTGAGTTTAATATTTTTTGTTTTTGAAAAAAAAGAAAATAAGCCCTCGATCTAATTTAAATTAAAAAGAAGTTTCGCATATAGAGTTTTGAAGCCTTTTAGTTTAATGATAGGCAAATTTAAAGTGACTAAAATTTAATTTTTAATAAGTTTTTATTAGATCGCAAAATTTCTGTCTATTTGAAGGGCAGTTATGGGTTCAGTAATTGCGCTCAGGGGTTTCTTGATGATGAAGAGCCGTTTCCGTGGACCTAGTAGTCATTCTGGGATTTACATAGATAGAAAGTTAGGACCTATGGAGAGTCAGAAGGGGGATTCCTAAATTATCTGCTAGGCTTAGCACGAGATGCTCTGCCTGCCAATGGTATAAATACCACTTTAAACTTTCTATAGTAGAGCCACAGATAGCTTATCAATTTGTCAAATGATTTAATATAGTCCATAAAATATATACCACGACGCGAGAGTTAATATATCACGCGCGATTTTTCTATTCTAATTCTAATTCAGCGTCCCTGTATTCAATAATAAAGCCCGCTACACATGGACCTACATAAGAGCATTTTTATTTTCGTAGAAGTAAAATATTGGTTACCCTAATAATGACAGAAGCAGAACAAGGCCTCATATATATGATTTTTTTTTTTGAGAAGACCAGGTGCAGAGATCTTTTGCCTTGTGTGGTGTTTCTAATTAAAAAGTTAATGCATTAATAGAGATTAAGAAGGATTAAATACCAATACTTTTGATACACACACATGTTTAGTTATAAACACTTAAAGTGAATGCAAGTTTTCATACGTACATAGAAAAAATTTACAAAATTGCCGACTTTATATAACTACTTGCTAAATTCATATTACTTACAATCTAATCTTTCTTGAGTAACAGGCCCCAAAAAATAAACCACCCAAAATGTTGGTATTACTCTCACACATTGTCGTACTTTCCAAAGAAATCACACATCCAAATTTTGGTGGATGAATAAAATTAAGATAGTCATTGGCTTTTATAATTTTTATACAACAATTGCGTAAGTAGTTGTTATCTGCAGATACATAACTAACATACTCGTACATATGTTTTCATGTACTCATTTCCAATTACTCATTGTTTAAGTCTAATCAGGCGCTAGTCATTCTGATTAAATTTGATTGCTAATTAAATACTAATCAAGCAAATGAAAAAAGTAAACAAAAAATTATACGCGCTGCTACTTGTACGAGTATTGCGTGACAAAACTGTTTGCGAAAAAATATTGTGCCGTCTTTTAAAATTAGTTGATACATTTTTAAGACATAGAAGCCCAGCGATTAGAAGTGTGTATAACTACTTGGTAAAGGACCGAGATTTGATGCCACTTTCGAGCAACATGCAAAGTTTTTTTATTTTTTAAACAGCGGTCATCCCTGGCTAACCTGAAAAAGCTGCTCCTATATATATGTATGTACATAGATATGTAACTAGTTATTTGCTATTCGCGGTCGGTGTTAGACTAAAGCCACCTCCGTTAAAGTCACCATATTAAGGTGTCCAACATAAATTAGAGGAGAAGCTCGGCCAAATACCTACCTACTTGATAAAATGAGTGGCGCCAAATATTTTTGATTTCTATGTATTTTAATTAGCAATAGATAATGTGCGGAAAAACACATTTAATTTTTTTTCTGGGCATGATTTTATCTTGCTACTGATAATGCTTACTGTGAAATAATTATGTACAAGTGTTTGAAGGTTGTTAACGAGAGTTTAGGTTTTATTTTTATACAAACATTTGTAATTACATACATATGTATGTACATGTAAAGAAGTTTGATTCAGATCCAGTTTCAGCTATTTGTAGTGATTTGCGTTTTATTAAATCGTCGCTGGAATAATGAAATAGTGTAACATGAAAAGTATAGTTTTGAGAAAAACGAATTGGAAGTTTTTATAAACCCTTACAATTCATACAAATACAATTTCGTTTTTCGGGAATAAATTAGTGAGCCAAAGAGATATTTAAGAAAACTAAAGATTTTTCTAATAGATTAAAGGATTGTCTATCCAATGGTGCAATTATCGAATAATAGTGTATGTGGAATTTACACTGTTTCTTTATTCGAGCGACGAAATAAAAGTGTAATGTATTTATTTTGTGTCAATTATACGACTACCATAAAAATCCATACCTGGTTGAATATATATCAATGGCATGCCAGTTAAGTGGTACGATGTGTACGTGATTGTTCCATAACAATATTATTCATGTCCGATAAAAGTCGTTAATAAATTTCGTCGAATTTTTTTATTAATAAGTATTACTGTTATTTTCGAAATTTTTAATATTACCTTATACTTATCGTCACCTGGATAAAAGATTGTGGTATGTTACTTTCGGGAAAAAAAATCGATTTTCTCCAAAGTCTCGGAGAATGTTACTAGTTCGCGACGTCCTTAAATTATTTTATTTTAATTGTTTATCTGTCTATATATATAATACGCAAAGGGATTTTTTTCGAAAAGAATTGCCACCTATCAAATAATTTAATTTGAATTATTTAATAATCAGTGCCATCGGATCCACACTGTTCGTTCAATTTACAAAAATTATTTGCAAAATGAAAGGGCTTGGGCTACAGATGTAAAATAAGGTTTTACCTTTACGAAAAGAGCTGCCATCTTTAAAAAAATGTAAATAAAATTATTTAAGAAGTTAAATCTATTATTACAATATGGGTATCAATTGAAATGGTCTTGAAAAGGCCTTAATTCTCAACTAAGTGTAGGAGGGTTGCCACCGGTTTAAAAAACCAAGTTAGGCTTAGATTAAGGCAATTGGGTTATTAAAATATGAGCAGGTTTTAGTTTGAAAAAAAAAAATAATAATAATATGGGTTACAAACAGGGTTCGTATTTGCACACACATGCTCTGCTCACACACACGCCAGAAACACATTCAACTTGTACTCACTGCTCATACACATGTGTGTGCATAAGTGGAAAACAAACTCTGCTCACAGAAAAGTGTGTGCTGTTTGTTATTAAGCACATGCACATGTGTGTGAGCCGATTTTTGTACAAATTTCAGCCCATGCACATGCACATAATATATTTTTAAAAGAATTTGTTTATTAAACGTTATTTTTTGAAAGACAATTCAATAAAAAGTGAGATGTTGTGTGTTTTTTATATGACAGAAAACATATTAAAAAATTATTTTAAGATTTGAGATAGAAATCGAAGTGTATAAGTTTCTCTACGCAAAGCGCACACATGTGCGTGTGCTTTATATTAATAAAAATAAAGTACACACATGTGCCCGTGCTTTTTACCAAACGGCACACACATGTGATGTGAGCAAGTTTTTAATTTTTTATATGCACAGCACACGTGTGTGAGCGTAAAATGTTAGGATGTGTTGCGCATGTGTGTGCAAATACGAACCCTGGTTACAAACAAAGAAATTTTAAGAAATCTTTAGCTTGAACATTTAGAATATTTTTTGTGGTTTGTGAAGTGAGTTGCCAGCTGATTAAAATATTAAATTCAAATTTGGTGAAATGTTAAATGAATTATTAAAATATGGGAATCAAATGAAATGTGTTTTAAAATGCTTTACTTTTATACTTATTTGAAGGGGGTTGCCACATGTTTCAAAAAGTCATTTCAACTAAATTCATCAGGTAATTTAAATATGTATAACAATCTCAGATGAAGGGGATTAAAGAAATTTTACTTTGAAAATTATTTTGAATAGGGGTGCCACCTGTTGAAAGAGTGGAATTTATTTAACTTATATTTATGAAATAATAAAATATCGATATCAAACGAATAAATATTACAAAATATTTAGTTTGAACATCTGAAATAGTTTTGAGTTGCTTGAAGAGTGTTGCCACATGTTAAAAAAGTTACATTTAAATAATTTGAAATTAGTTTGAAAAAGCTTTATTTCTGAACTAAATTTAGTAGGGTTGCCACATGTTTAGAAAATCAGATTTAATTTAAGCTAAGGTAATTTAAATAATCATATAAATATGGGTGTCAGACGAAGAGTTAAGAAGGTATTAGTTTGAAAAGATTTTGAAGGAAGTTGCCACCCCTTTTATAAGGGTGATTATTTAACTATGCATAAAGTTATATGAAATAGTAAAATATGGGTTGAAAACGGATGAGTGGTAGAATTTTTTTGTTTGAATACTTAGAAAATTTAATAGGAATTTGAAGAGGAGAAGGGTTGCCACTTATTTGGGAAATCAATTGAAGTTGTATTGCAATGTCAAACGAAAAACATTTAAGAAGATTTTAGTTTGAAAATGCTTTTGAATAGGGTTGCTACATGTTTATGTGTTCGAAAATTTAGCGAAAAAAATTTAGCAAAAAAAAATTTATAATCTTGCATACCCAAAATTTTTCCAAAAACACAAACGTTTAAATTTTGTTATGTGCAATTGGTTTTCGTTTCTGGGGAGCGCCACAGTTTTTTACAACCAGTTTTAATTACGTAACATTTATTAACTGACCTTTATTAACTGGAACAGGATTTGCTACATTTTCCGCACTTTCCACTAAAAAGTTTAAAATAAACATATACAAATTCAAAGACCAGGCTCATCTGGTCTCTTGCTAATTTAAATATTTTATTAACATCAATCTAATTAAGTTTTGACTACAGTGATTTGTAAATGTGTGTTTGTAAAAACTAGAGGGTGTCACGCATCAACACCATTGTCATAAGTGGCCTTCAAAAAGCAGGCTACAACTAACTTGACAACAGTTTATGGCTTATGACAGTCGCTTATAACTTATCATCAGTGATAAAATCAATTTATTATTATGCAAAAAATGATGGCACTTTGCATTCATGACGCACGTACATACATATATGCTGACCGTCATCGCATGCGTTGAGACCAGTGATCGGACTTAAAAAAATTTGTGTGGTAGAATCTGGAAAAAAATGTGGTAGATCTCAGGTTTTGGATCAAACTTTGTACAAAAATTAAAAATATTCTGCAAGGTTTCACCTAAATTGCAAACATTTTAATTGAATCTAAAAAAAAATTAATTTTAGTATAATGAAGTGCAAGATTGAAGTGTCTAAAAATTCCGTTGAGTTTTGGCAATTTTTTCCTTGACAGTGCAGTTCCTTCCATATCAAGATACTTTTTGAACATATTTTGAAAGATTTCTGCAACGTTGCGGAGTGCTGTCAGCTTTTCTTTTCATCACATCACGATGTAGCGAACAAATGGAACACTTGGAATTTGCCGATTTTGACAATTCTCAAGTAAAAGTAAACAACGCCTTAGAAACTTTAGATGTACTGAAATTTTGTAATACTTTCACAAAAATCGCCGTTTTTTTAACATTTTCGCTATTAATTGAATAATTGAATATTGAAAAAATTTACTATTTTTCGGTTTATTTTATTCTCCCATTCTGCCTGTTGTTAGTGTTTACNCATTTTCGCTATTAATTGAATAATTGAATATTGAAAAAATTTACTATTTTACGGTTTATTTTATTCTCCCATTATGCCTGTTGTTAGTGTTTAGTGCTGGACAATTTTTGCTCTTAAAATTAAGAGAATTATGTCGAGCAAAAATAAAACTACTCAAAAACGCGAATATGTGGTAGATTTCAGACCTTGTGTGGTAGATGTGGTAGATGCTCAAAAAAGTGGCAGATCTACCACAATGTGGTAGAAGTCCGATCACTGGTTGTGACAATGTATCGAAAGAGTGCTTCTTTCATTACACGCAAAAACGTTTAAAAAAAGCTCCGCTCTCTATTTTTTAAGTATCCGAAATTTCACTAGTTAAAAACGAAGAAACTGATAAAAAGTAAATTAAAAGATAATCAATATTTCGGAAGTGTTATCAGAAAGTCGTGCGATCGATATAAATGCTGAGGCTGAAGGCGCTGAATGAACAGTAGTAGTAAAGCAGTAGTAAGCGAGAGCAGCATAGAAAGTGTTAAGTGTTGAAAGGAAAACCGCTTGACTAAACTTAAAATTAAAAAAAATATATATATATATATATATATATAGCTATAGCAAAAAGTGCAAAATGTCTGCAAAATTATTACTTTCCTTATTGTTCGTATGCTGCGTCAGCACTAGCTTGGCCAATGCCCTTTCGGACTTGCAGCCGCTGTTGGACCAACAATTAATGGTTATGCGGCAAATGGTGAACACAATGAATGGTGAGGGGCCCAGCGCGAGAGCAACACTCGTGGATATCAATACTTGTTTCGATTGGTATAAGAGCGACCAGGCTGGCATTACCGAAACATACGATACGGAATATACAAGATGTGTGAATGCAACCACTGATGCAAAGCGACTGTTGTCGGAGCAAAGTGCACAGGAGCGTAGCGAGCTAATTGCTAGCGGTCAAGAAGTTTGTGGGGCGCTTAGCGGATGTGAGTCGCTCGATGATGGTTTGGAGTTCTTTAGCTGTTACAATAATGCGGTAAGTTTTGTGCAGAGAATTTTCGTCGAGTGAAAGTAGAAATCATTAGCTGAGAATGTGAAAATGACTAAGTGCGAGTTGAAGTGGAGGAGAAAATTGACCTTTCAGATTTACGAGACAGTTAAGCACAGCCAAAGTGGCCATTTTATCTTTGTCAGAAAGGCAAAACCCTCAACATTTTTTAGCACGGTACTAAGGATATATGTAGGTACATCTGAAAAGAGGGCGTATTAGAACAGTAATTAATGCAGGCATTGGTACTTTTTTTTGATGAGCATTACATTCTATGCGCAAATTGAGGCAATTTTGTATATGTATTATATCAAGCGCTCGAGGAAAAACAAGTTTAACAATCACTAGCAAATAAAATGCAACATACAAATTTTTGCTCGCGCAATTTCTGCAGCTTTTCAGTAGATTTTTAGTTGAGCATCAGCGACTGGGCTTCAAGAAAGCAACAAAATTGAGATACTGCGATAATTATTACGCATATAGCTCAAACACAACCAGAAATTCTACATTCAGTTGCTCTTCTTTTTAATCCTTTGATATGATAGAGCATTCTTTACCACTTTATTGTGTGAAATGGACGGAAATTCAGTAGAAATGCTACACCAGGTCTCCCATACAGTTTCAAATTATAAAGTTTCTTATTAGATAAGGCCTGTGCTTAAAGTATTAATTTAAAACGCTTTTCATTTTGTCGGCTGGGAAGGTTCTCCTTTATAGTGGGACTCGATAGATACCGCTAAAGTAAAGTTATTTTTAAATTTATATTTATAGTTCAATTTCGCTCGAAAGCTAGTTCCGACAATTGCACTTTTAATCGGTTCTGGTCTTTAGTACATTATTTGTATGACTTGGATAAAATTTCGGTGTGCTCTCAAATCAATGCTCGTGAAGATCGTATGTAGTTAGTTAGTTAGCTAAGACTTTTGGGCGTAATATGAAAAGGAATACTTCGAGCTAGAAGATCTTTTATGCTCATATGATGAATTCTTTAATCTCGGCATACGATTTGCCAGCGAATGCTTAATGATGGTTTTTTTCTTCTACTAACCGGATGGGCTGTAGATGAAATGCTTTTGTCGGTCCAACACCAAACAGTCAGATAGTAGATGTGTGTAGTTCTATCGCCCAGAGTTGGCTGATCTGGAGCAAGTGGAAACGCAGTCTTTTATGAGCGGCTTAATACCTAGTGGCTTGCTGCCCAGTTGAGTTGTATCTTTTATAGCTTGGGGCGATCATCTTATTTCATTTCATTTCATTTTGTAATCAAAACAATTTGCACAATAAGATCTAAAGAAAGATCTATTATAGCGAAACAAAAATATTGAAGAGAGCCTGATGGTCGCTTTGATTTCTGAAAGAATGACTAAGAAAATCTTTGAAAGACTTACTCTGGCTCAGTTCAAGATTGCTAGCTAATTTCTGTGCCTGAAAATCCATCTGCTCATTTCAGCTGACGGTTTAGTGCTCGTGGTAAGCGAACTTATCCAGTTTATTTAATTTTTTCCTTTTTCTACTTGCCAATATTTTTTTTCTTATAAATCGTACATAAACGAGCGTGCCTCAAAAATAGTTGGCCCGGAGGTGAGGTAGGACCTTAGTCGGTTTCAGCAGATAGTTTCAATAACAAAATACTATAGTGGTGGACATGGGGAGCTACCAGCCATGGCCAGAGAGATATTTTAATCTTTGCGCTTCCATAAATGTACCTTCTATAAAAAGCTCCCACGCCACCAGACTTTTGATTGTGTCTGTTTTAGACTTTGAGCTTTGTCCTCTAAACGCTAGATTTTATATAGAACCCATGGAGTACTCCTGATCGTTGCTGCTATGAAGTGACCAACCGTGTCATGAATCGAAAAAAAACATTAAGAATTTAATAGTAACACCGTGCGGGAGTTAATTTTACACACAAAAAAATATGTATATTCGCGAAACTATGGGCGAAATATAATAAAACTTCCTATATAGTTTTTCTCTCTTCAAAAATATAACAAATTAAAAAAATTATTTAAAATAGGCAGTGGAATGTAGAATAGCAATCTGGGTACAAAATAAAATAGAAAATTATGTAGAACTAAAAAATATAAGCTTTTTAGTACATAAGGACAAATGGGTATGGAAAATATCGTTTTAAAATTTTGTGTTTGATTATCGTTGAAAAATTGCAATATTTTGTTTATGAAAAAAGTATATGTTTTTTCTTTCATTTGGTACCTATATTCTTGATGTTCTTACACAAACGGAGATACTTACAGCCCCCGAAGGGCAAATAGATTTTATGAGAAGCTTTTTCATGGCAGAAATACACGCGGAGGTTGGCCATTGCCTGCAGAGGTGCGACGGCTGTTAGAAAATCTTTTCTAGTTTAGAAGTTGATTGGACCAGGGTGCGGACACACGTCCTACGGAGTGGTCATATGCACCTCTAACCATTCAGCCACGGCCGCATCCTCTAAATAATGTACGCCGTGTTTTTTTTTTTTTAATAGAGCGTTAAGATTTTGATGAACTTTTTTCATATTAAGTACTAAATTGTTGAATTCCTATTTAATATTGAAACTGTAGTTAATGACGCCGTATAATAAATCTCTATAAAATAAATTTAAAAATTCTATATTTTGAATACCTCCTAGTAGACACGACCAAAAACTTACAGCAGACGGGCAAACATTTTTTCCTATTACAGAGTAAAGTAGATAAGATAAAAGAATTGACCAGAAAATTAAAAACCAAATATATGTAATTTACTACATTTCATTTATTGAAATTTCTAATCATTCAAATTTGGTTATCAGCCTATGTACATACATATATAGATAATTCTCTGAAAATTTTTTCTCATTCACTTTTTTTATCGAACATTAATTTTTATTTTGCATATTCTGTTTTCTTCCCTCAACTACAACGTACACACACACAGTCGAGTGTTGAAGCTAGAGAATTGCTTACAATTGCTTCGAGTTCGGAAAGAGTTCTCAACAATTTGACCATTCTGTATCAACGCATCTACGATGATGAACGAGTTTGTAAAGCTGATGCAAGAAATGTCTACATTGACAGCCTTTCGACTAGTGCAACGAATTTGAACAATTGTTTGCAAGGCACATGGGTACCACCACAAACAACAATACCAACTCAGGCAACTCCTGCAACGCAAGCACCAATTACAACACAGGCACCAATTACAACACAAGCACCAACTACAACGGAAGCACCAATTACAACACAAGCACCAAATACAGCTGAACCTGAGGATGGACGCCAGGATCGCTTACCCGAAGAAGATGTTTACCGTTATATGCCAATGTCGCGTATGAATAAATGGAATATTCTAAGGCGTCTGTAGATGATGGCGTACTTAAATGCACGCTCTTGAAAATGCCAAGTGAGAGCTCAATTTAAGGCGGTTGTGTCTTGAAATAAAAAACGAATTTTTAATTTATATTCGTTTATAAATTAATAAATGCATACATACTTATGTGTATCTTTATATATTGATATTCAGCATCGGTGAATGTATGCTATGTTGAAAAAATCTAACTAAAACCGAATTTTAAACTATACTTTAATCACTTTCAAAGTTATCAAAAGAAGTCAAAAATGCCGGATTAAAACGTTTGCATGCCACTTAGTTAATAGTTACTTATGTAGATATTTATGGCCATACATATCTGTATATATTTAGTGTAAATATATTTATGATCTATATTAGAAAACTTGAATGTCACTTTTATTTTGGTACCTATCAATCACGCAAGCTGGTAAAGTGTAGCGTGGGCAAGGTTTCTCTGGTCTGCCGCTCGCGACACTTCCGGCAGCTGTCCACGCTAGTGATACTAATTTTTAGTGTATGAGCAGCCACTAGGATATGTCACGTAAGCAGTCCGACTGTAACAAGAAGCGAGTATAGTTGCTTCCGTCGTTTTCGCACATAATTTTCTCAGTTTTGCAACTGGTTAACTCATTCCATCTAGCCCTGAACTGCCTAATCATATTATCGTCTGTTTCGTTATACAAGTGTTGAAGTGGTCTACGAATGTAGCTTTAGTATACACTTTATGTAGCAGGTATGAAAAAAATCGTAACTTCTACAGTTTTGGTGTTTCCGTTCTCAAATTTATAATAAAAAAATAAATAAAAAAAAATAAAAAATTCATATTTTTTTATTTTAATCTGTCTCACACTTTCGTGGAAAGCCGAGATAATTACGCACATTTTGATACCTTAACTGATTTTCTTCGACAAATAGTTTATTAATTGCAAACAATTAAAAAAAAGATACTTCTCCGTGAGTTAAAAATTTCGAGAAGTTTTTTTTTTGAGATTTTCGAATATCATGACGAAATAAAAAATAGGTGTCTTCTTTTTTTCGATAAGGAATGTAAAAAAACATATTTCACCAAAAAAAAAACATTGAGGTGTAAATATTGTATCCTTTTTAAGTTGTCATTTAATGACAATTTCGCAATGAAACCTTGTTCTTTATACAAAAGTGAAGATAATGCGTTTTCTAAAATAGGCGTAAATCACATTCCGAAGGTTGCGCTTAATGCGCTTAATCCAAATCTGGCCGCAGAACTGCTCAATCACGTCAGGATTTTGAGGTATTCTAATTTAAAAGTGTGAAAATTGCCATTGTTGGCCAATTTCTATAACTTCTATAATCGAAAATAGATTTTTTCGAATATTGGTAAAAATTTCGCCTTAAAGTGCCCTTCTTCGACCTCAAATGTTTTTTTTTTGGAGTTCAGATTATTCCTCGCTGAGAAATATTTTTTTACAAAATTTTTTTTTATCAAAGGGTATTATGTATGCATACTAGACTTGAACAAAATCGGTACATAAATATGAATTTTCTTAATGTCTAGACTTTAGCGCCACCTGACGGCTTAGTGTTTTGCAAAATTAATACCTATCGTAACAGTAATATTCGTTTAAAGTTTGAAGAAAACGGGACCATAAATACGGGTTTTTGAAATATCTGGACCCTGGCGCGACCTAGAGAGCTATTTGGAAATCTATGTTGAGACCGTATTGCGTAAGGAATGTCATCCGTAATTTGGTTTTGTATCCATTGAGTTGTTTTCAGTGTTAGCAGGTTAAAAAATATCGGGTTTATTTTGTACTATGTTTAGAAGATTTGTATCCAACTAGAATTACCCTGCAGGAAATGGGACTCGTTTGTAGGTAAGTATTAACTAACTAGCAGTCGACTAGTGTTAACTATTAATTAACTATTTCCTTTGGACGTAACTAACTACATACTTTTGAAGGGCGATACCCGCAAAATAGTGATCATCGGTTTCCTCTGCATTAGATGTAAACTAACTTGTAGCTAACTACATTTTGGACATTTTATTGATAGCATAATAAAAAATATTTTTTCTATTTTTTATTATTTATTATTTAACATTTCTTGGCAATTTTTCTAAGGGGTCCCGTAGGGGCCCTAGGTGGTCGGGAGTAACATTTTTGTCAATGGCGGTTCATGCCCTCTCCAAAAAGGTCGGAAAAGGTGCCACGTCCACTCCCCCTTCGATCACCATCTCTTTAATAATCGTCCCATTAGAAAGCCAACCCATATAGTTATTTATTTTTCACATTTATTGTTGCTTTGAAAAAGATTTCTAAGATATCTTTGTTTGTTTGTACCTAATTAATGGTAATTTGGAACAATAAATTGCACAAAAAAAAAAAAAAAAAATGTTACTCCTTTTCTATGTCATGTACTGCTTTTTTTCTATCCAAAATATAAATGTACTCCTTTCTCCGTTTCAAAATCTGGCAACCCTATTTCTTTCCCTACAAGGTATAAATAGAAGAGATCATTACAACGGTTAACCATTCAAGCAACAACGCTAACTTTTTTATGGCGCAATGCAAGCAACTTCTGTGAAATAAGTAATTTTGTAAGCTGATAAGCTTATTAAAAAATTTATTCTTCGAAAAAGTGATCATTATGTAAGTAATAAAATAGTAGCATATTTATTTGTGGGAGTCCTCGCTACCATACTTTTAGTTAACTTCGAAATGCCCAATTTTTTATGTTGTTACAACTAAATTTTGAAAGGAAAATTAAAAAAAGTTATTCAAAAAATTTGCAATGGTTTATTAGTTTGTTTGTTGGTAGACACTTATGAACATAAAATATATAAACCTCGCGGGGGTGACATCAGGGGACATCTAATTTTTTTTACTTTGACGTTAAAAATTGAAGAAAAAAAATTTCTTTCTGTTAAATAATTGGATGTAAATTGTACTAAAAAACGCTAATTACTAAGCAAATTCAATGTAAAAATTTAGCGCAGGCTTTATTTAACAATTTGTATGAAGATTTAAGCTCAAGAGGTAACTATGTAAATAAATTATTTTTAAATTTCGATTTTCCCATGTATTCGTATCGATTACGCGAGTAGATGTGCATGCAGCAATCTTACCCAGTATTCATTGGAAGTTCTTAAAAAAATGAATGTTGTTTTTGTCCAGCTAGCTTGTACTAGACGAATGATTGTGCGATGGGTTCATTATCATACTCATACTGCAATGTCTGATTGCACCGGATGTTTATTTTTATTTGTACAACTAACTTATCTAACAAATAATTTTTTACCCACATAGTATGCACAAAAATAGAATTTCCGATTCAAACCTATACTAAAGCGTTTAAAATTATCACTAAACAAATCGCCCCAGTGGTAATTGGAATTACCATTTCATAACTCGAGAACTGCAAGTAAGACTTTTATGAAACTAATAACTACTATACCCGAATTACATATACCAAACAAGAGTCTCATATAAGATTTGAGCAAAATCGGTTGACAAGATCGGATAGCAGGCGACAATGGGTTAATAATGATAAAAACTAACCACTGAAGAACAAAGACAGAACACAAACCTTTTTAAAGGTACAAATAAATGATAGATGTCGCTGAGTGTAAAATGAGTTATTTAGTCACTAAAATGAGCTCAAAGCAATTGATAAGTCTATCGCAAGTTAAACTCACTCATAGCATTGAGTATTTAACTTTGCAAAGGTTTTTATCAGTAGCTGCCTTACGTATGTATGTATTTAAATTCGTATGCATGTAAATATACATACATACAGTGCCAGACAAAAGTATTGCCACAGTGATTTTTCGCAATGTATGCAAAGTTTTTTTATTCTATTTCCTATTTGCTAATTTTTTATAAAAATATAGTTCATACTACAACAAAAACATATGCAAATAAAGTTTCTGAACTTTGTGCAATACTCAGGAAAATTCAATATATTTTCGTACTAATTAGCAACTTTCTAAACAGATTTTTTAGAAAAACTCTAAGCGTGTTTTTTATAGGCTGTGCAATTTTAGTGTAAATTAGTACACAAATTTATTGAATATACTTGAGTTTTGCATAAAGTTTGGAGATTTTATTTGTATGATTTTTTTTTCTGTAGTAAGAACTTTTTTTTTGATAAAAAATTAGCAAATAGGAAATAGAATAAAAAAATTTGCATGCATTGCGAAAAATTCTCTGCGCCAATACTTTCGTCCGGCACTGTATGTATGTATGCACGTCGATATGAGATAAGAAGAAATTATTGACGAAGTGTCGAAAGTATACACATAATGCCAGATACATACATATGTATGTACATACCCTGTAGGGAAACGAACTAGTGCGGAACTGGTTCGGTTCTAGTGCGTTTGGAACCATGACTAGTACGCGTTAATTCTCTTTTGCATGCTAGCGACTGGCGAATTTAACATTGCGATGTCCTAGGAAGTGTCAATTGTCCCCCGTTGCATCCCTTTGGCTCTAGTTCCGAACCAGTTCTAAATACGACAGATAAGATCTAGTTCGTTTTGCATCGCTTTTTTTATAGTTAAAAAGCAGTTCCAAATTCGACAGATGAGATCTAGTTCGTTCTGCATCCCCTTTCATTTAGTTCCAAACAAGTTCCTAATTCGACAGATGATATCTAGTTCTATCTGCATCCATTTTTTATAGTTCCCAACCTGTTATAAATTCGTCACCTTAGATCTACATTTCTAATCATGCTTGTCGAAACATTTCCCTTTTATATTAAATACGATCGGTTGAAGGAAGGACAACACCATCACATTAGTAGTAGTAGTAGTATTAAACTTAAGTAGTAAGTAAAAAACAAAAGTGCGTTCTGCTTAAAAGTGAAAATATTAGTTCACTTGGTCTTACTTGTCTAAATTTAAGCATATTGATTTTTAAGTAAATTCAGTTCTTTTTAAGCTTATATGTATATGAAGTACTTCGAAAGTTTTTGTCGTACTTAACTTAAATAAGATATACAGTCAATCAATAAAGTTTAGGTACAGCGAAGATTTTACAATACCGGCAACTATTTTTTAAATATTTTATTTTTCCTAATTTTTTATAAAAATATGGTTAATTCTACACCAAAAACCCCAAAAATCAGAGTTCCAAACCTTATGCTAGTACTTACCATTGATATTTAGCATTTTTTTTTGTTGTTTGGTAAGTCCTAGCTTCCTCATACTTGCACTTCATTATACTAAAATTGAATGGGCTAAAAAACTGCAAACTCAACTTTTTTCCAGATAGCGTAAATAGAAAAAAAGAGCTCTGGTTGCTTGCATTTTTAAATAAATTTAGTGAGAAAGTGCTAATT